ACTTTATCATGCGAGAGTAAAAATGTTCGGTGACACCCGAACTTATTAGCCCTTCCTTACTTGTTAAGATATCGTTTTGAAATTTTGCAAATGTAATTTTCTCTTTAAGAAGCTGTTCATATCGGACCACTATAACATATAGCTGCCATACAAACTGAATGATTGGAATCAAGTTCTTATATGGAAAGCTTTCACATTTGACAATGTATCTTCACCAAAGTTGGCACAGGTTATTTTCCATTGCAAGAATGTAATTTCCGAAGGAATTGTTCAGATCGGCTTACTATAGCATATTGCTGCCATACAAACTGAACGATTGGAAAAAAGTTCTTGTATAGAAAACTTTTGCATTTGACAAGATATATTCACGAAATTTGGTATAGATTATTTCCTAAGGCAAAAATGTAATCTCCGAAGAAATTGTTCAGGTCGGCTTACTATAGCATATGTATAGCTGCTTTCGTATGTATGGATTACTGCTAGTAGTAATGCTAGTTAATAATATAATCTCCGAAAAAATTGTTGAGATCGGATTACTATACATATAGCTTCTATATAAACTGTACTCATAGTTACTAAAAGAAATGCACCTGTGAGGGTATATTAGCTTCGGTGCAGCTGAAGTTAACGTTTTTTCTTGTTTTTTTTTTTTAAATTTTATTGCATAGCAAATAATTGCACATTTGCACAATTAATTGCTTTCTTCATTTAGTTCTCTGTTTCTCTATCTTTATTACACTTTAATTTTTGTCATGAAATACGTTGGCGATTTTCTACTCGCATAGCTATTAGGAGTATGAGAAATTGATGCAAATCTTGATTGCTTTGACGTAATGATGACAAGTGAATTAATTTGAATGAAAATATTTTTATATACACATAAATATATGGCAGTAGCAGAAATCAGTACATTTCATATTTGCATATCATGTTTTTAATTTAAAAAAAGTATAAAAGGAAATTCTTTTTCACCAATATTAAAATTTGGAAAAATAAAAAAAAAAATCGTAGAGAATGTTTACAGATTAAGCTTATTTACTCTATATAGATGCTTGGATACAAGCCATCTCCCTAAGCTCGTTTAAAAAGTTCAGTCAAAATTGTATGAGTTGTTCAGTTTTTGACGCAATTTTATTGAGATTGAGATTGATATACTGATGCTGTGTCCGCTACAGTTTCTCTGCTTCAACGAATATCTCTTCTGGAAAAAACAGATATTGTTCGTCGGCGGGTTCTTTCTGGGCCAGTGTTGAACGTTAAAGGTCCTGAACTACTGTTAATTATTAAAGCCGTCGTCATAAACACCAGCTTTCACAGTTTTCAAATGGGATACTTGGTGTGATTATCAGCCTTACCACTTAACCAAACCTAAACCATTTTTTCAGTATTTTGGGTGAGGGATTAGGTTCGTTATTCTGTTATCTTCCTTTGGGAAGACGCAAAGAAATCTTTACCTTTGACTTCAAAATAGAGTTCTGGGCCAATGTTAGCTTCCGAAAAATTAATAAAATTTTTCCAAAACTTCTTACGTCGGTTTCGGTTCATTTTTGGGGCGCCTTTCGTGATATTGTTACATAGTTTCCACATCGTATTCTTAAATTCACGATTCGTTATCAGAAGTTACGTTCTCAGCATTTATTTTGTGACTCCCACTTGATGACGTTTGTGCAAAAGATTCAGTTATTTTGGTATAAGTTTAGCGTTGATACGCTTCATACCCAAAACTTTATCCAAAATGTGTGGATACGTGATACTGAAATCATCTTCTACCTCTCTGATGTCAACACGACGATCTTCAAGTACTGTTTCTTTAAATTTTTCAATGTTATTAATGTTATTATCATTAACAGGGATGTATCGATGACTCGCATCAGTAAATGGCCAGAGACTTTTTGCCTCGTTAACAAATAGATGCCAAAAACGTACTAAAGTAAAGAAGATCTGTCAGAATTCACTCATCTTAGCCAGTTTAAAATTAGTTTTGTGAGTTGTGATGTTCCAGGTCTATCTTTTCTGTGTAACAAAGTTTGCAGATCACTTCTTGAAAAAAATTTGGACGTGATAATGAAACATATAATTTGCAGATAATTTCAGAAATTGATAAATTAAGTAACTATATTCATATAAT